GTCTTTCTGCATGTTCTCCTCCTGTGTGCAGAGTTTCCTCCAGGTACTGCATCCAAAACAACACACAGGCCAGGCTAACCAGGCATTCAAAATTGACTGTGGATGATTGTTTGTCTCCACTTGTGGACTAGTGACGGACAGGTGAACTGTCCAGGCTGTCCTCTGTCCTCGTCTGGTTCCTGCTCAGATACTCTAGTACTCTATCATTTATTTACTACGTCTTATGCTACTCTGGGATGTGGGTGGTTTTTTACTCCTTTCTTTTTTGCCCTTTCATCTTTGTTTATCTTTTGCCTGGTAATAAAGTGAGACTCAGGGGCAGTTACCTGGCTGTTGTGGACAGAGTTGCTGATTAATGGTGAGTCACCATCACAACACCAGAGAACTGGGCCTTTGTGTAAGTGGAGATGCAATGACACAGCATCAGAGAGCAAGAGAGAGAGAGAGAGAGAGAGAGAGAGTGTGTGCACAGGTACTCCAAGTCACGCAACGCTCAGTGTTGGCAGGCGGTTTGTGTGTGTTTATCAAACACACATTACCTGGGCTCAGACTGGAGAGTGTGAGCAGTGGGAAGAGAATTTTTTCAACGCTCAGTGTTGGCAGGCGGTTTGTGTGTGTTTATCAAACACACATTACCTGGGCTCAGACTGGAGAGTGTGAGCAGTGGGAAGAGAATTTTTTGGACACAATATTAATCCATCTTAGTGATTAATATTACTAAGGCAGATTAACACACTCTCAGTGTGTGTGAGAGTGTTGATTTCAGGGCAGAATAATCTCCCTGGAGTCAGTGGGGAGGATGAGGAGGATCCAGTCCGACTGGGTCAGTGCTGGGAGTTTCATTACTTTTCTGTCTGGTTCATAAATGATTGTTCTTTATTTCAAAAAACACCATGTTCTAATATCTGATGCATCATTTGTTATCGGTTGAGTATCGGATGGAGGAGTGCTTATTCAACATCACAGTTGTAAACTATTGCGTATGTATCCTAGTACTGTGTGAGGAAATAGATGTGTGTAAACCGAAGGGAGTTCACTCAGAAGGTGTTGCCACTTCCTGTTGCCTCACACTCCACCGTCCTGCCCTCCCGCGTCCCATCCTGTCCTGTCTCGTCCAATGCACACCCGGAAGTTCTGCCACACCCCAGGCCTGTGCAATTGGTCTGGTGTGACATTGTGTAATGCAAACTGCCCCCGTGCGTCACTGAGAGAACTACACACACACACACTCATTTCACATGCATCTGGATTTGTACGAAATGATTATCATTCACTCTACGAGGAAACACAAACGTACGTGACCTTTTCCTCTTGAACTTGTTGTTCTTGATAAGTTGTGATTTTCTGTAAGGATGAGTCAGAACAGACTGACCAATGACCAAGGAGTTTTTTCCTTCCTTGTTCCTAGTAGACATCCTTATTAATCAAGGGAACATTCAGGAAGTGTAACAAAAATAACAGTTTCATGAGAGTTTTAAAATGTATTTTCCTGAAAATATCAAATATCTCATGTGTTTAATTAAACAATGTCAACATTGTCCTGCTGTGATCGTTTCATTTTCATGTTTTCCATGTTTTTTTTATGTTTTCCTAGACACACTCTCTGCGTCTGTGGCTCAGTGTAGCAGCTCACAATGACGCAGTGGAGTCATCAGAAGAAAAAGAAATAACATGCACAAGGACGCGAGTCTGTGTGGACAGTCTTCCTGGAATGATGTCCCTCTGTGTGTGTGAGTGACTGTGACCCACTTGATGTTGCTATCACAGACAGTCGAAGCATTAGGCTAATAAACAAAGATATTTCACTGTTCTTTGGTCACACTTCACCACAACCTTGTGTTTTGAACTATTCATGCTGCCGTTTGGAACTCTCACTACTCTGTCAAGAAGACAGAAAAGTCTGGAAAATTCAGCCAGAAATCCAGTTAATTTGGAAAAGTCTTTAAAAATGTGGTTACTAAACATTGAAAATATATACTTTTTATTTTACCACAGCTTCCACTCAGGTGAATGGGTTATTATGTCAAGTTATGTGCTAATATATACAGTATTTTTAGTTTTTAACGCTGCCAAAATTAGCTTGTTGCTTAACCTGTTATGGTTAGTCAGATTAAAATATTAATGCATTGTACAATTAATCCACAATTAATGATGAATTGTAATTAATCCGTAGCTACCCTGTGATTGGTACAATTCAAAATCTTAACGGTGCGACAGTCCTACTTTTAAATGTTTAGCACACTTAGCCTCCAACTTTTTGCCAACTACTCTTCACACCCTTTAATAAATTGTTGCCACAGGTTCACTGTTAGCCCTGCTGTTATATTTAGCACCATAGTCGTTGAGCCTCATGTTAACTGCTGGAGATCCTAGAGATTTGCATGAACAGCTAAAACCAGAAGTTATGTTCTAAGAAAAGTCAATTGTCTGGGAAACCCCCGGCTTTTAACCATGAATTTCCCCTAGACAGTGTTAGTGGTTTTACACTTGCAGCCAATCATGTGTTCCAAGGAAGAAATTAGTAGTTGTTTTTTTTTACCAGGTTTGTAGCTATTCACCTTCATACCTGAGCAAATGGTGTGTGTATATATAAACTCACTTTTCTTTAAAAAATTGAGTAAAAAAACAGTTCTTCAGCTTCAGTTTATGTTGTTTAATTAATAACCTGCTACTTTTATACAGTTCCTCTAAAACCACTAACAATTGTTTCTGCTGTCGTTGCAGGACACAGAACAACACAGCAACAACAAAACAAGCTCAGTCATCTACAGGTCAACCTCCACGTTGGACATTTTTGTAAGCATGTGTCATTCCTTTAACGTCCGTTTTTTTTTTTTTTTTTTTTATGTCAATTGCCTTTTCCTTCTACCGTGAGAAGTCAGAACAGTGAGAAAAGAGAACTCGGTGCCTGACACATTGTCTGAGCTCTTTATCTGTTTCCCTGTTCTTCATAGTGTGGAACCTGCTGAGGTGTTGGGGGAAATACAAGTTCTCAGCTTCTGCGTCACTACTGAGAGCTCTGCAACAACACACAGACAAACGCAGGTATAAAAATGTTGCAGTGTTACATTCAAATACATCAGATGAATCACCAGATGATGTGCTGCTGAGTTGGTTAGCTTTGTACCTTAAAGTTAAACAGTTTGATTTATTTAGGATCAGAGATTTAAAATTACAGTTTACATCCTGTTAAATCACATTTAAATAACTGTATTTATGTGTTGTTTATTAAAATCCTGGCCAATAACTAAATCAGAAAAATCAGCAGAAAAATATTTTAGGATCCACATACACCAATCCAATGCTTCTCAAAATGTGGGGCAAGCCCCACTGGTGGGCAAAAGAGACAGATGGGGCGTTACAAACATGAGTTTGAAGTGATGATGGTTTGCTTTTATTTCCTCTTATTGAACTTTGTTTTATTTGATGTTATTGGTGTTAGTTCCATACATTTGAAATGTAATTTGACTAATTTTTTGTTGGGCCGTCAGGGGAAGTTGGCCCTTGAAAATCCCCACTTGTGGGGAATGACCAAAAATGTTTCATAACCACTGCATGAACCATTCAAATTTTATTAGTAAAAAAAAATGTTCTAAAGTTTCTACAGGTGTCCACACTGTTGATGATGAATACGAACACAATGTTTGCATACTGTAACACGAGTGCAGGAACAAACTGCAGTGACAGGGAGTGATGAGGGACATCAAGACACAGGGAAGACGAGTGGTCGGACTTGACTGAAGATGAAGTGTGGTAAACTTCTGGTGCAACAAAATTCCTCATATCTGATTCATTATTTAACAAGCCCCGACAGCAGCGTTGTTAAGGTGGTATCATACTGATGAGGATTACTCATGTGTAAGAATATTCAGTAAGGTTATGGAAACACTGATCATTGAATTACATCTGAACAAATATACAGCTGTTACACACTCAATACGGTTACAGCAGAACTGGGAAAAAATACAAGAAACATAAATACTAACACACATGAATTAGTTTATTTATTTATATCTGACCTGTTATTTCTCATTCGTGTTACTTTGACATATCCAGGTCAGTTACCTCAGCAAACATGTGGTTGAGGCTGTCATCGAAACACACCCTGCCTGATTCCATGGTTGTAAATTTGAGTATTTTTACATGCTTTTACAGGAGTAAAAGATAATACTGTAAAATAATATCTATATATAATAAATAGATTTATTTCCCACAATGTAAAATACTAAGGTCAAGACTTGTTCATAGTTTCCTTGCCATTTTTTTGGACTACATACCAGAGGGTCATCTAGGCTGTTCTCATTTCTGTGTATGTTATCTTTCTACTTTTCTACTATTCTACTTATAACATCAAACCTCACATTGATGTTGATTGTCTGTTTCTGTTCTCACAAAACACTTAAAACCCCAAATTAACTTCATTTTGTTAATTAACTTCATCAAAGAAGAAGAAAATGTCAGATGTAATCAGTTCCAATAGTATTCATTTTTTAAAAAAGTATATTTAATTTAAATGATGTTTCTGTGTAGACTGCAGTAATGGAAGCTTTCTGAAATCTGCTCTGAAAGCAAAAGTTTTCAACTCTATATGGTTTATATTCCCTTACAACCATGTCCTCAACTGTATTCCCATCTGGTGTGTGTGTGTGTGTGTGTGTGTCACACAGCAATTCTGCATGTGAGAAAAACCTTGTGTTCTGAAATTACCGGAGTCGCATTTCCCTGGGCCAGGCAGCAGCCACAGCAGCAGCAGCACCACGCTCTGGTGTGGGATATAGAATTCTCTGTTTGTGGGTGTGGGTGTGCCACCTAATCCCTGTGGACTCAACACCACACAGTCACCACCACCACATCCTTGTAACTCCAGCCCGGCATGGTGTCGGCTGGGGCTCGTCAGCTCTACAGTTGGAGACACCTGTTGAGCCCGCGATTTCAAAGCACTCCTCCCAGTCCTCCCCCCTCCTCCTCCTCCCTCCTTCCTTCCTCCTCCTGCCAGCCTGCTCCTGGTGATGAGACATGACGTTCCCCTCCCAGCTATCACCATCACCACTATTTCTCCACCGTCTTTTCTCTTCTCTGTGTTACCTCTTGAAATCTTTCTCTGTCCACTGCGGCCGCCTCCTCAATTGCTCCACTTCAAACACCACTGTGCAGGTGGATGTCTTTCACTGCCCCCCTCCCACACACACACACACACACACACGCAAATGCAACCTCACAAACAGAGGCTTTGAATGGAGCAGCTGCCAGGGAGATTAGGGCACGTCTCCATTATGAGCAAGAAAAAAAAAACTGGCAGATTTCATCAAAGACTGCAGCGTTAACAAGAGGAGAGGGTGTCCAGATTAAAGATGCAGTCTGCCAGGTTTTGAATTAGCACCGCCTCCTGAGAATGATTGTTTGGGGTTGTTGTTGCTGCCATGGTTGCTAACTACCCACTAATCATCTCCTGGCTCAACCATTCAACTACATGCAAGTAATGTGGCTGCGATTAGTCACTGATGTTCTTCTGAGGGTAGGAGACTAAAGCTGCAGCTCCAGCTCTTTGTGACTGTTGTCCACACACCGCGGGGTGTTAGCGATGTGTTCGGCTTTAAATTAACCATATGTCGTTTGAGTGTAAGTTACACAAACTTTATCCATGCCATCCCTATTACCCCCCTGTGTGTGTACACCCTCTCCTCCTCCTCAACCCCCGTGGAAACATTAAAGTAATGAGCTGTGAGCAACTCCAGAACACTGCGTTTCTTGACAACTGTTTTCATTCGTTAATTAAGTCTAACCCTCACCCTCTCTCCCCCGCCTTCCCTTCAACCTCATATTTTGGCAGCGTGAACCTGGTGAACTGACCATGTGCTCAAGATTTATTTGCCTTAAATCACTTCCGTCAGACCTGCCCCCCCCCCTAAAAAAACCACAAAGACTCCAGTGCTTTTTCAGGTTCAGACTCACTGTTTGAATCTGTTTGATATCGTCATCTGGTTACTTTAGGCGCCAAAATGCTACTTTACATGCTAAAAATGTACAGTAGATTAAACCAGAGTAATTAGCTGTCGTGGTCGTCGACGGAAGGTTTCACCTCCTCATTAATAATCTGTAGGACGTTCATTAACAAACGTTTCCTTGTGAGGTGAACTGATCAAAGAATTAAAATGCTATAAACTGCTGGGATTGTGATGAATTATAATCCATCTAATAATAATAATAACAAAGTGATATATAAACACTTATACATAATTATATAAGAAGCACACTAATATCTACCATAATACAATAGAAATTTCATTACTTTGTTTATGTGTGTGTGTTTGTTCATGTGTGTGTGTGTGCAGGTAGAGCGACAACTCCTCCACGTCACAGACTCTGCTACTCTCCAGCTCGACCATGATGACATGACAACTGCGATGAATGAAGATCCTGGACCAGACCTGGTCTGAACAGGTGACTATTCACCAGCATTCACCTCCGTCACTGTTGTCGACCAAACCCACCCACAGTAGTTTACTGACATTCTGCTCTTACTTCAGCTTAAAATTTTCACTTTTTAATTTCTAAACATGTTTACTTGGAGACAAACGTTTGGGCTTTAGTTTGATGCCTTTTTAAATTGGGTATTTAAAGATATCTTACTTTTAACAGAGCAGTTGGCTTGTAAAACAAGGTGGTCCTACAAGGCCGCCCAGAGAAGCTTCTGCTGAAAATGATAACAGAAAACTTTACTAGGATATTAAAAAATCTACATCCATTTACAATACTATTTTAACGTGAGAAAATCTTTTTTATTAATATAAAATATGTCTAAACCTGTATAGTCTTTTCTAAAGGTTTGCTTAAACAGAATGTTATGAAAATTACAAGATCAGATTAACGAGGAAATATCTTAAAATGGCATCAGGCGTATCTTTGGTCTGATCCATCCTAACAGTTATCACCATTATTTTTATGTTCACTAACATTCACCTAGCATACTGATAGTACTACATATATCCTCAGTACTCTGCCAGAGTACATACTGTAGATCCTCACCCCCTAGAATTCAATGTTCGGTCCTGTCCTGACTTGGTACATGTGATTACTGACATATGACTAGCTGTACAAATGTGTGCTTCTCTTTTCACTGCCCCGAAGAAATAAAAATAAATGCCTTTTGTTCCTGTAAAGAGAAATTCAACGTCAAAACCTGGAAGTCAGTAGAAACGGAGGTTGAATTGTGATTTAACCACATTAGGGCTGTCAACTACAACTACAAAGAGGTTGAATTGTGACATTAGGGCTGTCAACTACAACTACAAAATGTTATTTAGATTAACAAGGGAGTAGCTGTGGGTAAATCATGATTAATCATGATTTATTACGGTAAATTAACATTCCTAAATTTGACCCAAAAAATGGAACAAAGAGACAAATGACAGCAGTGAGATTTTGTGATTTATTTATTTTTTTGCCTGTTTTTACTGGTGAATACTGAATTGTTAATGTGCAGTTTGAAGGTGGGTGGTTGAACACATTAAGAATTGTTAATGTGCGGTTTGAAGGTGGGTGGTTGAACACATTAAGAGTTTCTTTCAAAACTTTGGTTACGCTGTTGTCCTCAACAATATCGCAGTCAATCACGATCTTTTCGACAGTCGTGTCAGTCAGTTTGTTAGTCATAGATGTGAGTTGGACGTGCCTCTCAAGTAATGGCGTTTGTGTTTATGTCGACTGTGTTCTCGAGGAACGATTATTTTGCCTATTGAAATGCGTTAAAATTTTTATCTAAATAATTTAGAAACATTTCTAATGTTACTGTTGAAATTCTGCTAAATAGTTTTCCTATGACATATTCTTCTAATGTCTTTCACTAAACTCTTACAGCCCATTGTAAATATTTATTGTTCGGAGCTCTTATGATTATGAATGAAGGGAGTGTATTAGAGGGAAGTACGTGTGTGGTTTTGTGAAGTATTTGATCAGAGCTGCCTGTCGTGACAAAGGAATGCTCTTGTCTGTGCAACATTGTGGGTCAAACAGTCAGACAGGTCAAGTATGTCGAGAAAAAAACCCTACACCCATTAACAGTTTTGAATTACAACGGACTCACTGCTCCCTAACAGTTTAGATGTACTTTCTGGAAATCCCAGAAAATCAAGGGATTACAGAGATTCAAAGGAATCTTTCTGTTTGTTCACGGTATGCATTTCATTTTTCAGCATGCATACGAGATGAGTAACAGACCAACTTTGTTTTGACATGAATCATTCAGTACTGTTGCACATTTTCTTCATTATTCTGCTAATCCAAGGCGGGAAAAAAGTTCAAAAACCTCTGCTTATCCCATCAAAAAATCTTACATATAACTGGCCAAAAAAATAAATAAGAATTATATTATGAAATATATATATATAAATAAAAAACACATCGAATGTATTTAAATCCTGAGAACTCTAAGTTGGTCTACATTTATGAGCCCAAAGAGTCACAGCAATACTTTGATGAGTACTTGTTTTACGCTATATTGTCTTAAGTATAATGTTTAAAATTAAATAATAAAGAAACTTTGTTAGTTTTAAGAACAATACAGCAAATCACAATCAGTGGTAATAAAAAAAACCTTTTTACAAAATTTACGTCAAAACTGACCAAAATGATTTACAGAATATGATAAAGTAACTGATTTTATGTGTGTTAAAATCTAATCTACTAATATTCAGGTGTGTTATTGTCTGGATCAGGTGTTCAAATGTCCAGCCTGGTGTCGCTCCACCATAAACCAGTTCCCATGCCCCACTGTTTACATTTAAAAGGTATTTCCAGTATAAATTTGAAACATTTGAATTAGCCGACTTCTTCTGCCGTTATTGAATTTATGTGTGGTTTGTGGTGTGCACCCTCTAGTGGAATAACCCTTCACTACACCTCGTGTGTGGTCCAGCGAAAGTACTTGCAGAAAAAGTGAGACATGTTATTTGTTATAAATATAACGTTAGGAAAAATAAATAATAAACAGCCAAATCTTTTTGCGCTTATTTACATGATTTGATTTTTGTTAAATCTTAGCAATGAAGAGTTAATGCGTGGTTGTTTTTTTTTTTTTTTTACTAAATTCAGTGCTTTACAGGAGGAGCATCGCCGATTAGTCCTACGTCCATGTGAGGGCAGATAAGCAGTAGAGCAGTAGTGCTGCTGTCTCAGTGTTCTGCCTTATTCTCTCTCTCTCTCTCTGTCTCGCTCTCTCTCCTTCTCTCTGACATTGCTTTTTCTGTCCCCTCTTCCTATTCTCATTCTCACGCTCATTCTCACGCACTGTTTTGTCTTCCACAGTCTCGTTCACGCTCTGACAGCCTTTCTCTGACCATGTCTGGCAGCCATGTGTACGTTATGTGAGGGCATCGCATCTACAGTAAAGCAGGTTTCCTGCACCTGCGATACAAGATTTTTTTTCCGCTTGCGCAGAACTTCAGCATTTCTCTGATTTTCTCAGGGCTCCATCTTTCTTCAGGTCCATGTTTTTGTGGAGATGTGAGGGCTTTCGTCTGCTTTGGATTCCTGAGTTTTCGATTGAAAGGGGAAAAAATCATTTTAGTAGGTAAAAGGGTGGAGTGCGTCTCTATTGGGTTTGGATTAAAGACTGTGCTACTGTGCTGAGTCGGATCATTGAGCTTAGACAGGAAGCGGTTACACTTTGTAATCAAAACACACAAATACACACCTCTCCACCCTGTAGCAACAGAGTAGGATTAAGATGCTGACTACGTCCTGGGATTCAAGTCACAGGGGTTTGTATGTGCCAGCAGTTTGACTTAAACCCAGTGGAATTCTCCCAGTCTGTGGGACCATGTGCCAACTTCCTGCCACAAGTGCACATGATGCACATCACCAGAGAGCTCAGAGTTTTTTGTTTTTTTCTCGTTCATTCAACACAGCTATTTAAGAATAATGAAGTCATGCCTTTTCTAACGGCTTCAGACGCTGATGTCATGATCTTCAGCTTTTTGTTCCCTCTCTTAAATCTTTAGCCCAGTGCTACATTACAGGATGTGCAGGGGAGGAATTTTTACTGTCCTCAAACATCCTGTATGGATCAAGTCCACCACTGCTTGTAACCCTGTCTTGTAACAGAAAGGGTTAACAGTCTGTGAATTCTTGATTGCCAACTCCCAGGATCGTATCTCCTGTAACTAAAATCAGGGCCATCTGCGCTGGGCGTATGCCTGCCTTCCCCCCTGGCCTACTGCGCTCAAAGGCTCTCTGTGCTGTGGTTTGCCCGGCCCAGTCATGTGACTTCTCTGAAAGTGCCCCCTCCCTCCTCCTCCCTCTTTATTTCCAGTAAACTGTTTGAAAGGAGGGGGTGAGTCAGAGTAAAACCAGCTTCCCTTTAACCACAGCTTGTTAAAGAATTTGTCAACGTGGACTCAGGGGTGCATTTTTTTGCATTTTGTGTGTGCGTGCGTGCACGTCAGATAATATGAATGTGAAGTTCCTTTTTTTTCTTTGAAAAGAGGACTGGACTGTAGCTTTGAATGCAACAGGAATCCTTCATCACTCCACCTCTTTGACACAGAGCGCGGGTACAGGCGCGGGCTTGTCAGTAGTTAATGAGATGAACTTTAACTGTCTTCATGTTAGTGGCTGACGGCCGCTCCGGGGATGTGCGTGTCTTCAGTGTGAAAGACTTTCATTGAGAAAAAAAGAAAACAGAGAAAGGCAGAGAAGAAAAAAAGCGTGTGTGGGTGTTAACTTGTGTGTAGGCTATGCATAGATTTTTCCTTGTCGGACACTTTTTTTCCACATGGAGCAGGGGTTCCTCGTAACCGCCTGCTTTTTGTCTGTTTTTATGCCGTGCAGCCCACCAGCTTTACCAGAGTCACTCGAAGAACACTTTTCCTTTGCCAACTTTTTCACAATGAAAATCCTCTATAAACAGATGTCGTATAACATCGAGCAGTAATGTAATTCAGATGAAAAACCACAAAAGAAACATTTAAAAAAATTACAGACATTGTAATAAAAAAAATGTATGTATGGGTCAAACTGTAAAATTTAGAATGGTTAATTACAATATTTGAAATCAAGTAAAGACCTGAGAACTTCAACTGCAAAGATTGAAACCATGATGACAATTCTCACAACAAACGTCCGACACACAGTAGCAGAAATGGCTAAAATGCTCTTTTTCTTGGACATAGTTGATAGACGCTTAAGGAAGACCTAGCGTGTTGTAATGCACCCAGATACACTGAAATATCATGGAATCTTAGTTATTTTACATCAGAGTACTTTCAGCTACGTACATCTGTTGTTGATATGAACTGCATTGATGACACATTGGCCACTTAAATTGGTTTAATGATACATGTTTGCATACTCACCCTTTGTTGTCCCTGATGGTTGTTGCCATTGGACTCTTGACCGCCATTAAGAGGAGAGAATATTGACAACTATTCCACCTTAAAGGATGTAAGTGAAGTATCAGTAGGCGTTAAAGGTCACAAAAACGACTTATAATTAGTTGTTCTACATGAACAGTCTGTGTTATAGTATGTGCCAGACTTGGTCATGGACACCTGTAGCTCATAGATAAAATGATGTCATTGGTCATTAATTAAGTCTTAGTTATAAGGATGAATTTGATTGTATATCATCTCATCATATCATATCATATCATTACAAACTGGGCTATAGTTCCCTACTGATACCAACTCCATTGATTGGCTGTAGACTGCTGAGTAAAGCATCTGCACCAGGCAGCCAAACCTGGAACCAAAACCTCCGCGACTTTGTTGACGCTGCACCCCTGACTAGATCTTATCAAATGTAATAGCTGCCTGGCCCAGCCCTGCAGGCCACCAGTGACTGAGAGGAGGAGGGTTGGGGGTTGGGAAAGCTGCAGGCAGTTCTTGGCAAGCTGCCTGGTAAAGATGGTGATTTTCCACAAGCCGCCAACTGCAGAGTCAGGATGTCTGAACCCCAGCCATCTCAGATAGATGCTTCTACCCCTGTTCAGATATGCAGCCTTGAAAAAAAAAAGGCTCAGCTGTAGTAAATCTCTCTCTCTCTCTCTCTCCCTCTCTCTCACATGTGCACGAATGCGTGCGCACACACCCTCACCTCATGTCCTCAGCGACCCCTTTGTTCACACCTAGCTGTTATTTTCATATTTGTTCTCAAACAGAACCTAAAGCCAGTCCACTGTCAACTGATGTTAACAGTGTGTATGCGGTGATGCAACCAAATGAGTGGGACAGCAACACGGCTAATGCTCAGGCCACCGATTGGTCCGTGCTGCAGCTCAGTCATCAGGTGTCCCTGCTCCAGACACAGTCTCAACAGTTCAGCAATACACATTCTTCCCTCCAGCTGAGCAACACTGTCTCTGTGTGTCTGTCTCTGTGTGTTTGTGTGTGTGATTTACACACACACACACACCGGGGGTGTCTACAGGCTTGTCCCAGCTGCAGAAGTCTTGATTGGATGTTAGGGAAGGTAGAAATTCAAATTGTGAACCAATCAGAATCTGTGTCTCTTTGCTCCCCCCACCATCACCTTATTAGGCGACCTCCCATGTCTCTCAAATTTCCTGTCCACTGGGTTGCACCCCATAAAGAATGTCATCAGAACTGTACTGGCGTTGTTGACCATATTAGGTATGGTCATGTTCTGCCAGCCCCTCCTTCTTCTTTCATCTGTTTGGAGCAATATGATGTGGTAGAAGTCGAGGCCTTCCTTCAAACTAGAAAAATATTATCTTCCTGTCTTTTCAGATGAAAATATTTTTTAAATATTTCCCCCAGACTCGTATTTTTTGTTACTAAAATGAAACAACAATGTCATTCCACCGGAAAATTCAGTTAAATAAAAATACCCACAGATGCACAAATCCTGAGCAGTTTAATTCAAAACTGCACCTGAATAATATTTAGAAATTTATTTCAGATGAAAATCAATGATGAAAGTATAAAACTATAATAAAATCAAATTATAGAACAGTTAATAGAAGTCTTCGAATTAATATTATAAAGATAAAGCATAGTCAGTATTAGCAAGCAGTTTAATACATAAAATAAACACAAATAATTTAGTTGTCTGCAGTAATAAAAAAAAATTTCACTTAATTTTAAATATTGTGGCTACAAATGTGCAAGAAATATAATTTGAAAAAATTGACATAACGAAAAACCATTTATATATCTTCAAAAATGAATGATTTTAAAATATTTTACTTACAGCAGCCAACATAAAAATATAATTATATCAATTAAATAGTAAATTTATACTGCAAGAACTGAGCAGTCTTTGTAACTTTGTAAAAAAATAAAATTTGTGCTCTTATTATGCAACATTTAAACATTTAAACACTTTTAAAATCAAATGCCTTTCACAAATATTATTCATTATGAAATTAAAATAATTATACATCAAATATCTTAGGCCTTTGCAAATGTATTACTGTTTTGTAGATATTTATTTCACACAACCCCAAATTTGATCTGCTTTTTTTTCTGCTACTAAAAGATCTGTTGCTGTGTATTTTAATTAAAATAACTCAACAGCAGCTTAAAGAATTTTACTGGTCAACAAATACAAAATTGTCCTGCAAAAAAATATAGTATAATAATGATCATTTACCTTAATAAATGTCTGTCCGGGAATCAGAATGGTCCTTTATCATATTTTTTTCCCTCTGTATTCTCAGTATATTCCCAGAAGAAGCTGAACTAAATCCCCCTTTTTCTGCAAAAAAAAAAAGAAGAGAGTTTTATGAGGAAAAATCTGTGTCATTGCTTCCAAAAGAGGCTTTTGTGTAGCTGTCAGGAAGGGTAGAGCAAGACCTGCATAAAGCAGTAAGAATCTGTGAGTCACAGGAATGAACAAAGTCTTTTGTCTCATTCTCACATTCCCAAAGAAATTAATAACTGAAGAGAAAATGGAGTTCCTGAACGTAGCCATTAACATTTAGTTTTTTAAAAAATGGTGCAGATTGAGACAGGTTTTTATAGTTAAACTTCATTACAAGATGTAGCAGGTAAAAACTCTATTTTACTGTACTGTGTTTTATGCCGTGTACTTTTACTGTCTCTGATATTTTTGACAGACAAAAATATATTAATAAAAAGTTATTAAGGTTAGCTAAAAACCTGTTTTTTAATCTTAAATATAAATGTTCAGACAATTTACAGCAACAGTTTATCATCAGGCCTGCCTTTTAAATAGGTTTTACAAGTGTGGAATAATTACAAATAAGGACAAACATTAAAAAAATAAGCTTTAAATATTTAGTTCTGTGGATCATCTAAAATCATGGGGCTAAACACAAAGATTCACAAAACTAAATATGAACTAATTAAAAATCTCCTTCTAAATGGATTAGAATATTGATAAATATGAATCCTACACAGTTTATGCTGCTGCCTGTGAAGTTTCTGTCAGTGAGAATAATTAGTTTGTATATTAAAAAACTGTTTTTTAAATGTTTGAAACATGAGGCTAAAAACAAGAGTCAGAACAGTCCTCCCTGCAGCTGCTGCTCCTGAGGTAAACATTAAAGATTGTACTGTACATGTGCAAAAAGAAAAAAAAATTCAGGTAACAACCTAATTTTTCGTTTCATCTGAACACCAGTGTGTTTTTAGAAATCAAATTAAATTACTCAGTGTCAGTTCTCAGCCAGAAATCTGCTCAAGTGTTCAGACAGTCGGCAAAACTCAGCTGGCAGGAGAAAATCACAAAAACAGATTTTCTTTCAGTTTCTTTTCTTTCAAAACCATATTTTTCAGTGAATTATTGTTAATAGATGCAAAAGATTTCCATAGGTTTTTACATTATATATGAATCACTTATTAAACATAATTTTAACTGTCGACACACTGATAATGAACTCCCTGTTTTAAAATGTTTGGGAAAAACTGAATATTTCATTTGAGCTTCATTTAATGTTTTAGAATAAAAAATTATGGATCAATAAAAAATGTAAGTAAATATTTATTAAAAAAACAGAACATTGTTTTAATTCCAGGACCATCATCAAATATTCTCCAAGATATAACTTATTATAACAGAGAGAACAAAGAAGGAAAGAAAAATATAAGGAAGAAAGAAATAATTGAGAAACAAATAAATCAATATAAAAAAAGAGAATTCATAAAACATGAACAATAGAAATAATTTCATATTTAGTTTAATATTTGTGAAAAAACATAAGAAATTTAGTTTAATATTTGTGAAAAAACATCCATTCTCTGTGCAAAATAAAATTATTTTTGAGCCACACGAGCCAAAAAACGTTACCTAAAAATCTAATCTCCTCATGTTTGTCTCTGTTTTCCAGGGTGTTTTATTCATCGCTGACTGGTTCTCTGTGATTCAGCCGGTGCTTCTGTGAGTACAGTGTCATCATTTGTCCAAACTAATCTAAAATAAAATACATGTTATACCAGATATTCAAATGTTTAGATATGTACAGTGGAGATCAGTTTTCATATTTTTCAAATGAAAAAACATCCATTTTACACTATAATATTTGTACTTTGTACATGTGAAGCAGTGCTGGAGTTCAAAAATATATATATAAAAAAAAGATTTTTGTTACATATATGTTACATATTTCAGTATTCCTTATCCTTTATGTTCCCAACAGTATCCAGAGTCCTGCAGAAATGTCAGGAATAATGTCAACGTTTGCTGCCTTCAGTTTGGACCTTGTTGTTTCTGCTGTCATTGGATGAGGATTTACCAGAGAACAGTTCAGGTGAGTGTTCCCATGGTTTCTAATAGTTTTTAATTGTAAACCGTTTGGGAATTGATGAAAATCACTGTTTGATGCCTACGTGTGTTGCAGCGGTGTGTGATGAAACATTTGCTGTAGAGAACTCACATAATTCTGCTGCTACAGGAGAACAAAGTGTTTGTGTGAAAGAGTTCTTTTTTTGTTTTTTAATGTTGTTTGTTTGGACTCCTGTTTGGCTCGTGTGACTGACAGGGATTAACTGTCACGCACGGCACTTCTCTGCTACATTGGGCTTGTAGTGAGGAAGCCATTTTGTGCAGGCAGGGCAACAGGAGTCAACCATTTTGTGACTGCAGCTGCAGCAGCCTCAGCACGTTGTACAGTAGAGCGGTCAGGCGACAGCACACTGAGGATTTATGGGAAAACAAGGGGTCCATCCTAACCCTGGAGTAGGAAGCTGCTGTTGAGATACTTGGCCTCATATATGTTTCTTCTAATCCGGGGAAAATCCTCAATTTGCTACCAAGAATGTCTATGATGACCGTCAGGGGCTTAACTTTCTGTTTTCTAAGCAAAACGCTGCAGTTTGCTCAGAGATGAAGGGTTAAACGCCAGGCATTTTTCCACCCCACTTCACTCCTTACCGTACGGAAAGGCTAGGAAAAGGTGGAGGGGCTGGTGGTGGACCTGGAGAGGCTAGCTGAGGCAGATAAACACTATCTGTGGGAGGTGGTGGAGAAAGAGTGGAGAGATGGACATGAGGGAAGTGGGGGTTGCAGATAGAGTCACACACACAGGACCAGATTATACCCATGGGGTCCCTGGGGCCCCCTCTGACAGGGGCGCGTTCCTCCCTGTGCCACACAAAGTCTTCACTCGTCTCTCCGACATGTCAGGGGCCCCCGCTCCCTCCTGAGGCGGTTTCATTTTCTTCAGCTTCACGTATCACTTTGAATGCAAATGATTCAGTGGGATGGTAGTCACGTATGAGCAGAAAACAACAAGTGTGTTATTAGAGCTCACTGAGGGAGGCTGATGTTTTTCACAGGCTTTTTCAAGGGACCGTGTGTCAGTGCACATCATACGTCTGTGTTTGTATTGGTTCTCCGGACGTATTTTCCCCCTGTTCTTTAAGAAAACATGTCTCTCTATGCCTTCTGCCTTTGTCTTAAATGAACTTTGGTGAACTTGTAAGGCTGAGTGATGAACATTAGCCGGTTTGTCACACTGCTCGTCTTTGTTGGATGATGAGCAAACGGCTGCTCATGGATCCACAGCGCCACACTGGAATTAAAGAATTTAATCTCTCAAGTCTTTAGCTGTGTGAAGGTCAGAGTTCTTCCTTGTTATGGTTGGTTTTGGTTGTTTTTGAGACACAGTGTTAGTTACAAGAATGAGAGCCGCTCACAATCACAATAGATTGAAAATAGCAAACTCCTGTCATCATCGTTCGCTTCTGGTAAAATGCTTTAGTCATCATGGCTGTGTCGGACATCTTGACTGTCACTTCAGGGTTCATTAGCAGAAAAGACAATAACACCACATGGCATCATGTAAAAATACATTACAATAAGGTTGATCTAAAACATTCTCTTCATTTTTTTTAGAATTAAAATTGATTCTTTTTCAGGTACTGAAATACAGTGAATTATACTTTGATTTTTTTTCTGCTAAGCTTAAATATTTAATACAAATCAAAGATGGACAGATGATGAAAGTTGACATCTGCAGCACACTAAGGACAGGAAGGGATGAAGGTTAGGATGAAGTCAAAGTCACCTAAAAGTTCACAAAGATGACATTCTGGAATGTTCCTCCATCAGCAGTTTAAATGTGATTGGCTTCGGTGGGCTGTCAAGGATTAATGTATCAAAGTGACTCATCACTTTGTGTTGTACTGAGTGAGAGAACGTTCTATCAGTTGTGAAAAGCGATGTTTTCCAGCAAGGAAAAATGAATGTCCACAGTGGGATAGTGATGTGAGAAGATTGTCAGAGTGAGGAGAATGCTGCTGGAAGGGTTTGGACGTCCAAGTCTTTACAGCTCTGTGGACGCAGGCTACTGCTGTTCATCAGACTGTGTCACTGAGGCAAAGAGGAAGCAAAGAAAACCTCCATCGGACTGTGTCACTGAGGCAAAGAGGAAGCTGAATATTATGAACTGTGCAGATTCACAATCACAACCACCTGGTAGACAGTGAGCTAATGTTGTGGTCAAACTGAGGTTGAATGATTAATCATAATTGTTTGGTAAAAGACTGGTTGTTTTTCAAACCCTGCGCCGCTGGTGCCACTTTAACAAAGAGTGGAGTGAAGGCATCGGCATCAGTCACAGATCTGCCTGAATGACACCATACCAACGACACAGAGGCTAAAATAAAAACATGTGCTTCCTTTAAGATAAAACCATTTCCTGGTAACTCTGTTTCCTTTTTATCAGGTCTGTGCCAGACCTCAGTCTGCATAACAAATAAACGTGGAATCTCAGACATCCAACATAGAGTATCTGTGTGGATTGACCTGCCTGCGGTCCAGAGTCGTTTTGTGTGACAACTGCTGCGTCACAAAGTGGAAAATCACACGATGGTGACTGTTGAGCAGCTCAAGTCTATTTTGTGGCAAAGATTGACAAATATTTGACTTACAGAGCTGCAGGATAGTGCCATTTGATTATTTAGGTGTCTTTGCAAATTGTAAAAAAAGTGTTGTTTTTTTTGAGTAATTGCCAAAGTTTTGTGATTATCTGAAACGTGAAACATATTGCAAATCATCATTGAAGCCAAAGCCATATCAATATGGCTGGAGCTCAGTGTCCACAGTAGTCTGGAGACACGAACCCTAACCTTAGGCTAAAAATGTCAACTCTGTTCAATCTATAATTATATTATATCAGTGCATCCAGTGCCTGGTTGAAGCCATTGGGTAAAATATTCATATCTGAGATGACGTTTTTATGGCTCCATCATCACATGAAATGGAAAATTCTAGATGTCTTGTGTATCATTCAATACACTTTTCCCTATAATTCAGTAGCATATATTTAGTGTCTTTGGAAAACTTGGGATCTGGACTTGAATTTAAAATAAAGTCCTGTGGGTTTGAACAATCCTTTTATGCACAACACGACTTTGTAATGATGAACCTGCCGAAGGCGCTGACGGCGATGTTACCAGATCAAACCACGTCTGTGCTCGGACAAAAAAAAAATGCATGTTTGTTTGTGAGAATTCACTAACCTGCAACAACGTGGAGGGTGTGGAAATGGTCCTTTAAAAAAAAAAGAATTCCAGTCAGTTAGTGGGCACATGCTCCCCGAGGCCAGCAGGAGCAGGAGCAGGAGCAGGAGCAGGAGCAGGAGCAGGAGCGGCTCCCTGTCTGCCCCTGCTGGCCTCGTGACTAAGCAGGAATCAGACCAGACAGGAGGCCAGCACCAGGACCCCCTGTGGAAGCAGTGACACATCTTTGATTCTTCCATCCATCCATTACACACACACACACACACACACACATTGGGATGTGCTGACCTGTGGTAACGTGTTGGTGTTGGTCCATAGATGTTGGGGCTTTCATGTCTTGCCCTTCATGGCCTGTGGGCTCTGTGGCTGCTTACTAACTTACTATAGCAGGGAGGCAAATGATGTATTTTCGTTTTGATTGACTTGTGTGTGTGTGTGTATTTGTGTGTGTGTGTGTGTGTAACTGATCAAACCATGAGGCATACACTGCTTTGACCTCATGGTTCAGTAACTGACTCAATCCTTCGCTGTGCGTCTTTGTCATACAGAGACTCTTTGTGATCGTCACCTTCCGCAGGAACCGCAGAGTGCAGCAGATGGACCACCTTTGGGTGAGTAACACTCAAGGGATGTGCACTGTATATACGTGACCTCGTCTTTGTGCGTACGTCTGCGTGCTCAGTGGTTAGTGCAGAGTCTTACAGTTGACGGAACTTTGGGGTGGTCATGAGCCCTTCGTGTAATTTTTGTTCCTTTGTTTGAAACCAGACTCTTTTTTGTTCCTGCCTAACTTTAATTATAATGGTCACTAAAGGTCGGGGGGGCGAGGGGGGGGGGAGACTGTGGGTTCATAAATGGAGACTTAAGACGATGTGAAGGGTTTTCTCTGGTCTTTGTCTTCTGGGGTGTATTTCAGAAATTTTTATTAGGACTTTGACAAACAGTTGTTTTAAAAATTTTAAAAGAAATTCTTGGGTAAAAAGGCCAACTGTGAGGTTCACATGGCTCTTCACAGTGACATATGGATGGAACAGGAACTGTAGTGGCCTCCTGGTGGTGGGTGTGAGTGATGATGACTGCTGTGATGGTTAACCTTGTAGAGGAGCCAAGGGCTGCTGCTGGAAACTGCCCTCACCACACACCTGCCAGAGGGAGTGCCCTTTATCACATGCACTCGCCCACGTACACACACACACGTACACACACACACACACATACGTTGACACAGGTGCGTTCTCGGTGGCTCCGGCTTACACACTTGATGAAATCGGGTGATGAGATTGCATCAGCTCTCTTCCTCTGCCATGTTGCCTGTTTGGACACTTACTCAGATTCCAAAGGGAATCAGGAAAAAGTCTTCAGTCAAAACACCACTCTGTAATTGGAGCTGCAGTTGCTTTGTTTCCCCACAAGAATGTTTTTTTTTCTTTCTCCAGCACAGAGTAAGACCATTTTGTGGAACTGTTGCAAATAAATTATAAATAGAAATACAATGAGTTTACAAGTGAGTCGTGTCCAACAGGACCTACGTAGCATTAGCATTAGCCTCTGTTCATTTATTCACCTTCATTGTGAAAGAGCCGTCCCTTCTGGCTGTCACCGTTCATTGAGCTGCAGACTCACACTGATACATCACTGGTTACTGACAGGTTTCACTCTGACTCACCCAGCTCTAGCAAGTTTCCCCTCTTCACAACTTTTCAACCGTCAACTTCCTTCCTCACTGAAGCTCTTACACCTTCACCTTCATTTTGTGGCCCACACACTTTCACTATCACTCACACAT